TGGATATACTAGCACTAATGATTTTGTATTACTTTTCTTGTTAAAAGAACGTAATACATGTTTGTGTGTTCTCTGTCTTATAAATAAATAGATGTGTGTATATTTTTAAAATACTTATGGCTAGCTACCAACTTTAAATGAAGTTGAAAGCCCATTAGGTCGTCGAAATAATATTATTTTGAAACGGAGCAAAATGTGATCTGCTGAGCGTAAACTTCGATATGTTATTCATATATTTTATGTGGGAATAGACAACACATGTGTGTATCACTTTCTCTTAATGAGTTTGATAGGAGTAATGGTTTTACTTTAGGTATTACTATTGTTTGAAGGCATTTAATGAGCTTTTCGATATCAGTAGACAGTAATTACCTACATGCTTGGCCTTCAGATAAGAAGCCTTCTCTTTTTACCGGTCAAACAGAAGTTGTATTATTAACTTTAATATTATTAAAAGCTTTTACACTCATATGCTATATTTAAGAATAATAACTAAAAAATTGTAAATATTTTTATGATATGTACATGAAAAGAAAAAAATAAAGTAGAATACGTGAGCAACAATTCGAAACTGAAAATGTCTTAAGTATACCTAAGTAATAACTTGTAATGTGGTAGGTATTGTAACCCAACATTGGCATTATGTTTAGACTCAAAAATTGTCAATATATTTTTTAAACTATGGTGAAATAGAACCTTTTGCTATAGCTTATTATTCTGATTGCAGTAGTATCAAATCTGAAAATAAATTTATTTCAAAAATAAGTAATACTTCTATAAAAATCTTATTACAATTTTACAGTTTTTTAAAAGTTTTTAAAATTGCATTTTCTGAGATGTATATATTGTGTAGTATATTAATTACAATTTCATTTTTATTAGTGGCTTATAAACGCACATTTTTATCTGTTCAGAAATGTAGGAACACTAAGAACAATAAACCATATTATTTCAGTCTTTACAAAAGAATAAAATAACATTTTATAAACAATAAATAGTATCAAACATTATCATACTTATCAGGCTGTTTTATTATTTTGGAAAGTTTTGAATAAGGGGAATTACTAATTTTATTATGTATCGAATGCTATCTATATTCTTCATCATATAACTAATACAGGAGTATTTAAGTTAAATGACCTCAATTATAATAATTTTCACTTATTTGTTTCAGTGATATTAACATAAATTGCGATATTATGTTTACAGTAGCTAACATTTATTTCACTGAAATTATTATTACAATAATTACTGTATCTAATTATTGCATGTACCTATACTATTAACTATAGTTTAAAACTTAAATACAAAATAATATAAAAATATTAAAAATGTTAAAACATTTGTGTTAAAATCTTTATCATATTAAAACAATGTACTAACAAATTCACTTAAATTTTCATTCAATGGTGGAGGGAGTAATTGTACAGCGGACAATAATCAGAATTATAATTAAAAACCGGGCAAGTGCGAGTTGGACTCGCGCACCGAGGGTTCCGTACAAACCTGTAGGTATATAAGTAAAAGTTTTTTTTATTTTTATTGCAAAATGAAATTTATAACATAAAAATATGGAAAGCTGGAGGATCATAAATTAATGACAAAGGTATCTTTATCGTTCCAGTAATCCTTCATTTTATATTAACATCTATCATTTATTTTATAATATAACAAGGGCAAGCTTGACAAGACTACTTGCCCTCGCAAGTAGTCGCGAGTTTGAAAATATGCGGCTTAAATTGTTATTATTTCTTTCGATTGCGTTGACATAAAATTTTGATTTTGTTACAGTTTAAAGGTATTATAGACTTAAGTATTTAGTATGAATTTTAATTTAATACCTCATCGCGTTCATAAGATAAGGAGTAGTAACTTTGAAATTTTCAAAATTGTCAAAAATATTTTTCAAAAATATTTTTTTTTTATATGATGAAACTAAAAATTTACGGTTTTCGTAATTTTTCCTATATCTGTACTATAAGACGTGACTTCGTACGAAACTTCAAGATTCTAAGTTCACAGGAAGTACCCTGTAGGTTTTGATTCCCGTGCGAGTTTCGAAAATTTGCGGAAATTTGCGGCCTAAATGGCTGTATCTTTTGATTGCGTTGGCTTAGAAGGTTGATTTTTCTACAGCTTCCAGGGACAGTAGACCTGAGTATCATATACAAATTTCAGTTTGATACCTCCACGCGTTCCTGAGAAAAACGCTCTTGACAGACGGACGGACGGACGGACAACAAAGTGATGTTATAAGGGTTCCGTTTTTTTCTTTTGAAGTACGGAACCCTAAAAATTATCATAAATAATTAAAATAATAGAATTAGACAATTTATGAAAATATTGTTGTCTCCTATATTAGCTAAAGGCTATTGTGACAAATAAATTCATTGATAATAAATGGACAATATTAAATACTATATATCATAAACAAATAAACTCAAATTTCAACTTTTTAATTTTAATTTTTGTTTTGTAATTAAATTTTTAAACTAAGATTTATTATATTATATTATATTTTAATAATAATAATAATTGTAGCAATATAAACTTAATTACAATTGTAACATTGAAATTATTGCAATTATCACTTTAAAAAAAAGTAGTTAAAAATAATGAAAACCAATCCCAATAACTTTGTACTCGTATATTGTTTTTACGATGAATAATATATAGGTAGCGCTCCATAAACTATTGCTTTTTTCCCCACTGTTCAAGACTCAATAAAAAATTAGGCAGCCTGGTAATAGGATTTCTTATCCAATTCAATATTTCTTAGCCATTGGTGATCGCTTAACGACCGTTAACTCAACTAGAGCTCTTGCAGTTTTACACCGCTGATTTTAACATTACTGTGTGAAACCTTTCGGACTTATTTTCAAATTACTCTCTCGTTTGTTCGAATAACAGTATTTTTTTATTTTTTCGACCATCTGTTTACGTAAAAAAAAACGAGATGAAAATTGCATACGAAGTTTTCTTTGTCATTATATACATCCACTTCGGTAAGTACCTCTGAATATTTAGTAAAAATAAAAATTAAACTAATCACTAATACGGTTATTTGTGAGGGTAAAAGAATTTTTTACTTTATAACAACATATTTCTGTATACGTGCTTACTGTATAGGATTGCAGCAAGAATTATGAATATATTTATTTGTGATTGCTAGTAGAAAATCTTTCTTATTAACTTTATATATTTGTTCGTGTTAATTTAAGTTATAACTTATTAACTTATAATATTTATATAAATGTATTAATAAAATTATCATATAATCAAAATACATTTTTATACTAAAACAAAACAGAAAACATATTTACTTCATATCTAAAGTTAAATTAAAAATTAACAATAAAATATAAAAATAAAATAAACTTCATCAAGAAAATCAACATTTGGAAATATTTTAAGAAATCTTTTTCCTATAAAATGCATAAAAAATTTAAATGTTGATTTTCTTTGTGTAGTTCTGGAAACGAATTCTTTAAAAATTAACTGTAAATCAACTTTCGCTGTCATAGACTTATAAACATGTGAAATCTCAAATCATCATATAGGTTTATCTCTTTTGGGTCATCGTAGACCTCAAATATGTTCTTATTAGAATTTTCAGTACACTACAATAACTCTCAGCAAAATGTGTCCAATTTTGAGTATGCAAACGTTTAAATTAAACGTAATTTATTATAGTAGGTATATGTTATAATTTTATTGTAGTTTGGAGGACAACATTATATTTTTGCTCTTTCTTGGATTTTATCTAAAGGGGCTAATTGCCCCCTCTGCCCCTTCACGATACCACTGAATACTGATATAAAATGGTATATTGAATAAAAAAAACTTTACGGACAGCACTTATAAAACTATGATTTCCCGATAGGTATAGGTAAATAATGATCACGAATTTCATGAGTTGAAATTTAACAATAAATAATTATATATAATGTGTTATTTTAGGTATAAGTATTTTATACATACCTTTTTAATTGTAGCACTCGAGTGGTAAAATTGTAAAAACGTCGCAGTTCTTAATGATTAAAAACGTATTATTAATTTTTATGGGAACTAATGAAAACAGCTAGTCATTGAGAAAACATAATGTGGAAGGTATCATTAGAAAAATGTTTTAACAAAATACTTGATTTTAATCCTATTTAATGTTTCTAAATTAAAAAAACCATAATATTTACTAAGTTGGTATAATTAGTCGCATTAGTCGATTGTAATATGTGCCCACGATGTAGGAAAGGCAGTAAGAAGAGTTAGTAATTACTAATTAGTAATTAGCGCCCGGAATTTTTCTATCTCCGTTTTAGGTATAGTAATTTCCACCCATAGTATCCAAGAGGCCTTGAATTAATTATTATTGATTTTATACGCTATTGTACATTATACTGGTGTAGAAACTGATGTTTTATCGTTTACAATCAATATAAGGTTAATTATATTAATATAATAGGTATAACGAAATAATTGTTCGAGCTTACATTACATTGATCAAGCTCAGTAATGTGTTAAATTGATCGTATTTTAAAGTAGTAATGAAAAATTATTTATGATAAATAAAAATGAAAATTGACTTTTTATATTTTAATTAGCTTCTTATTTAATTTTATTCACTTTTTTTTCAAGTTAAATTATTTTATAAAAAAATATTTTCAGAGGATAGTGATAGCCGCTTCCTCGAGGATATCTGCTAAATTAGCATTGAAATATATATATTTTTACCAATGTCATTTTAACCATGAATTCTGTGGTTCTTTATATGAATGTGTACACAAACCATTTATAATAGGTACTTAAAATTATACATAGGTACTACAAAACGACAGTATCTTTTTCCTACCAGACATGCTAAGTTTATGAAAAATCGAGTGATTTAGCTATAATTTTATAACAAATATTAATACTATATTAAGTACTTATACTAAAATAAATTATAAATTCTGATGTTGAAAATCAAATTTTAAATTGTCATACATTTATTTCAATTTCAGCCCATTCTCAGAATATACAAACAGCCGTAAAAGATGTCGGTGGAGCTGTTGAAATGAAATGTTCAGTTTTCAATGCTAGCGGAGTTCCTGTCGCATGGATAAAATTTGATAAAGAAGAGCCCACTAAAACCTCTGTACTATCGATCGGAAAAAAACTTATTGTTCGAAATCCAAGATTTTCAGTAGAAGTTGGAGTCGGAAATAGTAGTTATACATATAAAGTATGTAATTTCATAAATGTTGTTAAAAATCTTATCAAAACTTTTTTTTCAAACTCCATATAGCCATACTTAATTTTTTTTAATGAAATCGTTATAAATTTATTTTTCAGATTCAGAATATACGTGACACAGATGTAGCATCCTATCGTTGTGTAGTGATGTGTGATGTCGACGACGGTATCAATACGTCTGCAGATATTGAGTTGGAAGTGAATCGGTCTCCAAGCATTTTAAAACTTTCTTCGTCTCCGGCCACATTAATCGCGAGGGAAGGTCGACCGTCGAAACTAGAATGTTATGCCGACGGATACCCTGAACCAAAGGTTACATGGAGCCGACAATTTAATGGTTTTTTAACGACAGGAGGAAAGTTTTATAGGTATCAACAGAGAAAAATAAGCAAAATAAAATTTTATAATTGGATGTATGTACAGATTAATTATGTTTATAAATAAATACAACTTTTTTTCAGAGGTAATGTCTTACTCTTTCCTAATGTAATAAAAGATGACCGCGGAACTTATTTTTGTGATGCGGTGAATAGTGATGGCAAAGGTGTGCGGCACATGGTTGATTTCCGTGTAACATTTGCCCCAGTGATAAAAGTTTCGAATATTATGTATACTCATAGAGAACTTTCAAAACCAAACATGGATGTCCAATGCCTAGTAGAAGCTTATCCTGCTCCGAAAATTGATTGGCTCTATAACGGTGTTGTACTTTTCAACGATAAATACAATAGGTAGGTATACCAAACCGTTGAGTACCTACTTAAAAACTTTTGTATTTTTATGTGTGTTATTCTTGAAATTTAGAATTGAGGGAAACACTACTGATCACCAGTTCAGTTTTTCGAGTTTAAGTTTTTTTAAATATAATGACGATCAACACGGGAAATACACATGTAAAGCCCAGAACGAAATTGGTACGGCTGAAGTCACAGTTATTGGTTAGTATTATTTTCATTAACACAAGGAAATGAGTTTAACTTGATTATCTTGTCATAAAATAGTATACAAAACGAACAACTTTTCAATCAAATGTTATGGAATTAACTGTTAGCATACACATTTAAATATTTCTCTATCTAAATTTCAAAATTTATCTTATTTTTAATTTTACAATGAGTTTCAATAATATGATGACATTAGCCAGGTCGTTTTGATTCTATTAATCGGTTGATTCCATACAACATTTTTAATTTTATATAATAATAAGCATAATTAAAATAACATGAAAAAAAATACATTTAAAAAAAAGAAAAGAACTATCAATTTTAGATTAGACTTTTGAATGTCCTTTAATTTGATTTCCATAATTGTGTGAAATCCAAACCTTACACATAGTATAATATTGCTATATTATATTAATTAAAAATATGGAATTTACACAATTATTATGCTACATTTTAATAAGCCTACATTCTTCGAAAATTCTATAAGTTATAATTGATAATTAATTGGCTAATTAATACTTTATCGTGCTAATCGTTTTAATAAAATCTACATGTGTCTATTTGTTTGAAATTTGAAATAAAATATTTTTTACAGTATTTATGTTTAAAAACCATTTATTTTTAAATTTTTAATTACGATTATAATTCAACTACTATTATTCGTTTATTTTACAGAACGACCATGCACACAATCAATTTGTGATCCTAGACGAGTTCATCATAAAAATTTACCAAATTTTTATGGATTAACTCCTTAACAAATAAATTTGCATTAAACATAATATCATTATATACATATATTTAGGTAAATTATTTTTAACGATATTGATTTTTAAAAATTATGAATTTTAATTATGTAATTTCCATGGTATTATTTTTTATAATTAATTCTTGGAAAACAAAACTTACAATAAATAAGGTTATATAAATATAATAATTGTTTGATTTAAACCAACATTTAACTTGCACAAATAAAAGTAAAACAATTTTTATGAAATTATGATGCTATTAAAATTATATTTAGTACAATCAATTGCACCTATAACCAACGATAACGGTCAAACTATGGAGTACCTATTTTCATCTGCTTTGGAGTTCTCCCATTTCACAGGCTCTTCCATGCTTACAATTTATTGTACTTGGTGCATACCCATTATGTTTTATTTGAGTTGTGTTATTAAACTATTAAAATAATTATGCATTAACATCTAGTAAAAATTCAGCGACATAGGTAATATAGTGTAACAGCATTGAGTACAAGGAAAAAAAATTAGCTAAATAAGTTTAGGTAAAAATATTACTGTTGAAATAAACACCACAATATAATTGTAAGTTAGAAGTATATTTTTACTAAATAAATAATTAAAATAAATGAACTATAAATAATTAAGAAAATTTATTCTATTTAACTATAAAATAAAGTTGAAACCATAGATATTACTGGATAAAAGTAAGTAGTACAACCATATAGTATTGTGAAGTTCTTTAAAATTCATCACAAATAAAAATATTTTCATTATAAACGCAAGATTAAATTTTTCAACAAGGATATTGTTATTAAATATTTAAAAGGTAAATAGGATACAACTATAAAAACAAAAAACTTAAAAACAATTTATGTTACTATCTATTGATATATTCTTATGTCCTCTGTAAAGGACATAAGAATATGCAGTCATAAATTTAATAACATCAAAAATTAAATTACATTGACTTAACCTAACACTTTAACTTCAATAATATACAGATCGTTACAAATATCCTTAGTTAACATCCCTGTCAATTTGATGAGCCTCCTAAAGATGACACTGTATCAGCAAACTCATCGAGCGTTCGAAGTTCTATAGCAAAACTCCAATAGCATAGTTTAAAAGCATAAAAATGTTATTTTGATTAAAACAAAACAAAATGATCATTCAATACATAATTCTTGAATAAAAAGTGATGACAAATCTTTTGGTGTAGGTTTCAAGATGATCCAATAAATATTTTGTGAGTTATTCAACAAATACAATTTCACATTTGTATATGACTATTATATTCGTACATTTATAATGAGATATAATTTTAAGATTATAAAAACTAAAAAAAAATAACAATATGAGCATTACATAGACTATTCTAGAAAAAAAGAGATTACAAAACTTTTGATGCAAGTTTCAAGATGATCCAATAATTATTGAATGTCTTATATGTAATCTTACGCAAATTCTTACACAATTATAGTATCTAACGTTATTTTAAAAAATTTCTTAATACCTAAATACTAGTATTGATTAAAAAAAATAAACTGTTGTTTTTTTAATAACGTTTTCTTGTTTCTAAATACACATCAATGTATGCCAATGTATTTCACCAATATACAATAAACAGACATTTCTAAGTACATAATCAACCATCCTTAAGTGAAAAAAAAAATTTAAAACAATAAACATAAATATTTTTATCATAGTATACTTATAATTAATTTAACAATAATCTGATTTTTGACACCAAATTATTGACTGAGACTAGGTAATGAAAACCTCAATGCTCTACATTAGCAAAACTCATAAATGTTACAATAAACATTTAATTGATCGCGAACTGGCACACACATGATTCTTGACGCATTCACATTCAGCTCATAGAAGTGTAGTATTCAAGATCTGCCTCCAATAGATTTTACATTTGGTTGTTAACATAAACATAACAACAGATTATCTCACATCAAACTTGAAATTTATAGCTTCAACTATTATCTTTCAATGAATATTTTACACTGTTTTAATTTTTATACACTTTATGACTATTTGAAAGTAACAGATTTCAACAATCTCTTATTTCATCATAAAATTAAAATATCATATATGGCACATGCATGAACACAAAAAGGGCTTACCTTCAAACTCGGTTATAAATCATCTCCTTTCAACATGAACTTAAACTCAACAAAATCATGCGTCTTGAAAAAATTATGAGTACAAAGTACAATACATTATACGTTTAAAATGGTGTTAGAATTACATGCGTTTTTCTAAATATTATAGATAAGAGAAGAACATTTACTATGATAACATAGATTTATATATTAAAAAAACAAATTAACAATGAGTAGACTTTTCTAGGAAAGAACTAATTACAAATTATTTGGGTTTGGTTTCATTTCGCCATATTAAACTTAGTTAAAACACTTTCCCCATAACTCCATCAACTAACTGCTTTTATTAATATTGGTGTAGAAAATATGTTAGGTAGGTACCAAGAGTCTTAGTCAACTATCTTTTGTATGATTTTGTTTGATGGCAGAAATAGGTTTTAACCATTAGTCTACATAAGCAGAATTGGTGTGTTGTTTTGATGAACAGAATAAAGTATAAATTATTTTATAAAAAGATATAGAAGTTTTCTTAAGCTTTTAAACATACCCTTATTCATTTTATATGATTCAACTAAGTATGAAAATTTTTGTTTAAAATTAGTATTTATTATTTTTTTAAATTTTAATTTTAATAAGTTTAAATAATATTATATAAATGATTTTGTACAAAAAATTATTTAATATTGAAGTGCAATCTGAAATAGAATGTTAATTAATTTAACATATGGAGATTTGTTTAATATTGAATATATTAGAATTTCTAATGTTTGAATTGATTGTTGTTCCTATCAAAATCTATCAAGAACCACTTATTTTACTATTAGATTTTTTTATAGTAACAGAAGTATTTTTTTAAAACATTTAAAATGATTCAAAAATTAGTAAGTATTTTAGATATTAAATTGATTAACAATTCGTTAAAAATTACATTTATATAGGCGATTCATTTAATTGGGACAACATATTAACAAATATTTCTGACCATTGATTCCACAAATTGTTTCTTACAAAGAATTAGAGTATGATTATCAAAAAAAAAATCACTAATTTTGAATTAAATAAAGATGATTTAGTAGATGTAGTTCAAGTTTTTGGCCAGTCCCAATTAACTGTTTTTAAAGCATTAGAAGAAGCAGAATTTTGAAATGCTGTTTTAAATCACTGTTTTTCCTGAAATGATTTTTGCTATTAATGTAATAAAAATAGTTTTAAATCATATTATAATGTATTTAAATAATTTTTATGAGAATTAATTTGATTTATAGAGAATGTTTTCTAACATTATTGAAGGAGGAAAAGAAGTATTAAAAAAATATTAGTTAACATTAAAGCTGGAGAAAACTGAAATTTATTTCAAATATGTTTTAAATTTTTACAATCTTGGGTAATTATTCAAAATACCTAGAAATATTTTTATACTTTTAACACAAAATTGTTATTTTTTTTTTTTTAGGAGAATTTTATTTTGTAGAATCTGAATTTAAAAGTTGTATTTTAATAAATGAATGAGCATTAAATGTTTCAAAATATTTATTGGTTGATGATAAACAAATTGAATTGAAAAATGTTATTGATTTATTAAAAAAGGGTATGTTACTTTTTCAATTTATAAATTATTTTATTGGTTATGTATTGGGAAGTTTTAATAGTCTTTAAAAATATTGTTTAGGTATTTACTTTATTCATCATTTCATAGAGTTCTGCCAATAGATTGTGATCTTTACATACACAACACATTGTTGATTTATTTACTTTTTTCTTTTTATAATACAATATATACTTAATATATGTAATATCTATTCTATATTTGTATTTATAAATAGTGATTGGAAATTATTTAAGAAATCAATTCAAATGACAGAAAAATTGTGTTCTCATATATATCAAACTTTTTATAAAACATAATTTTACTTAAAACAACTGGAAAAAATAAAATTTAATAAAGAAACATCTGATACTTATAGACTTTCTCTAAGGGTATATATTACTTAAGTAATGTTATATTTAAATATGATAATGAATAATTAAGTCTAAATGTTTTTAAAATTAATATTTAGCCAACTTTTTTTTTTTAATAGATTGGACAGTATTTAATTACACTTCCTCAGCACATTGAACCATTTTTAGTAAAGGATAATGAAGCATTAACTGTAGTTTTAAATATATCTGAAAGATGATACAGTGATGCTTCTCTGGAAGAAAGTTTTACAAATATCTTATTAAGGAAATTAGCAAGAAATTTATGTGATGTATATGTAGAACAGATATAGTTACTTAGAAAAATAAATAATTTGGCTGCTCAACAACTAGCTGCAGATATTGGTAAATTTTTTATGAATGAATTTTATTCAGTATTGAACAACACCTAAATAATAGAATAAGGATGTGGTTAAATTACTAAAAATTTATTTTTATTTAATTCATTCAAACATATATTTCAGAATACTTGGGATATGTATTAGAAGAACTAGGAGTCAAACTCAATGAGACTACTGTACAAATTATGGATTTATTAAGACTAGAAAGTGATGAATACATAATAAAATCATCGTCAATTGCAGTTCCAAAAGTAACGGCTGTAATAGCAAAAATTAGAAATATAAGATAAAAAAAAACCATTTATTTGAAATCTATTATTATTTTTACAAGTATAAAATAACATATTTAATAAGCTCATCTCAAAATTATGTTGAGTATTCGGGAGCCCATAATTTAAATGTTCTATCATATGATGAAGATGCTATATATTTTGAATCTGAAGATATGTCAACTCCCATTATTTTGTTGTCATGTCCAGATAGCGTTTTTAACATTTGCCATGTTTTATTTGCCCAAATCTACAGTAATTAAAAGTTTTTATTAAACAGAACAACACAATTTACTTAATTATTATTAGTA